TATGCAAATGAAGCCCAGCCCAGTAATATGGCTTGGGTGTATACTTGTCCCATTCTGCATACGTAAGTGATGCAGCCGCTGCAAGCTTTGTTCTTTCAGTGACAGTGAGAACAAATCACTCTGGTTTCAACACTGCATTGTTGCTTATATCATCATACCCGTCTCAGGTTGCATAAAGGAAGAAAGAGAGAGAGAGAGACTGAAACAGAGAAAAAATTAAGATGTACTTTGTGGAAGTAATTAGCATGTTGTGAACACCCAGAAGATTGATAATGCTCTCCTACTTAAATGAACACTTGAACAGTACTCATTGTGAAAGAGGATCATTGGGTATGTGGCCTTTAAAAACTTGTTGATTTTTAAGTCATTCCTTTATTTTGTGTCCAGGATATCTGTAAATTGGTTTAAGGGTTAGCAGCATTTTGCTTTGTCTGGCATTGTTCAATGAGATTTTATTGTTATTGTTATTGCTATTATTATTATTAGTCATTTTATTATTGATATTATTATTATCATCATTTTATTATTATTGATATCATTATTATAGATATCTTTATTATTATTGATATCATTATTATAGATATCTTTATTATTATTATCATCATTATCATCATCATTATTAGTACTACTACTACTACAAGTATTATTATTTTCCTTCTTTTTTAAACATATATCTCATGTGCATGTGTGTTTTTTGTGTGTGTATTATTCACAAAGCTCTTGTGTTGTATATACTTTGTTTATACATAATAATGAATCTATATGTAGAGTAAGAGTATGTAGAAAATGATAAACCAATTTGGCTGCAATCGAGTGAGTGGTTGTCAAAGTAGGAGATTAAATTTATTGAAAATGTCAGATTATATAAAGGTAGAAAAATCATGAAAATTGGGAAAAGTATGAAAACTTACCTTTACAAATAAAAAATAAATAAAGAATAAAAATTTTCTTGTATCATTGAATCTTGTGAGATAAATTAAACAAAGACAGACTTGCAGAGCTGAATTTGTAAAATTTTGAGATTTTATTTTATGCTGGACTGATATGTACCTAAATCTTGTCTCGGCATTTACTTTTTAATCATTTTATTTTTCATTTCTCCCCCTCAGTCATAGAATATAAATTCTTTAGACAATGAAATGGATTATAGGACATGTAATACAACAGTTAGATTTTTCCCGCCTTCTTATGTAAACATTTTGGTCAAACTGTCTGATTCTTCGACAGGATGCTTATGTTTGGAGTTGTATCAACACATTGTTTGTATTTTGTTGTAGTATCCTACAGCAAAATAAGTTTTCGTTTATTAGGAAATAAGATTTGAAAAAAGAAAAATCATGCTTTTTATATGAGCATAACTAGTAATAAAGCAGTTTTGTATGTGAATTAATGAACAGCTGGTTAGAGAGAAAGAGAGAGCAAGTTATGCTCATACAAACACATGAGAGAAAGAAAGAGTAAGTGACAAAGTGAGAGAGAGAAAGAGATTAATACAGGAAAGGCAGACAGATCTTGTCATCTTTTGCATACATTGTCTAGTCATGTCTTCAATTACTTTAGACCAGCTATGCTATCCATATCATTCTAAAAGGACTCATACTTTGCTAGATGTGTGCTGGTTAACATAGGAATGCTAATTACCATTAATACTATTATTGAAAATTTTGTGTAGTGAAAGAGAAACACACACAATACTGATGATGATGATGATGCAACCAAGCTGCAGTCAAGAGATGTAGGAATGTTAAATTCATACTGCCTTAAGTCCTTCTTTGGTTGTAGCTCTGGGAAGTATACAAGGAACAACTCTTACTGGGTGTGGGACTTGTTGGCGAGTTAAACTTTTGAACATCCTGGTATATAAAACTTTTTCTGTAAAGTTCATGTATGGGACTGTTTATTTTTAATAGACTATCCTTTGTATTTTTTAGTTTTTAAGCTAGTGGATTTGGTGTATTTATACTTGTGAGATAGTGTTCATAGAATGTCTATTTTCTGGTGGATATGATTTTAGATGTGTATGCTAAGCTCTGTTGATGTGCATTCTGGTTATTGTTACTGTGAATGAAAACTGGGGGAAATTTTTCTTAGTTGTTTTAAAGATGTATACTGTTAGGATTTATGATTTGTTTGTATGATGGAAGTTAGAACTAGACAAACATTTATCTTCATTAACTTACTAGAGTTTTGCCAAGTTTCCTCTTCTGTTTGCCATTGTCTTCAGAATGTTAAGCTCGTTCTGAAGTTGTGTGGTGCAATGGTAGGGATCTCATCTAGCAGTCTTGGTGACCTGTGTTCTAATCCCCTGCTGCCAGTGGATGGCAATCCCGGCCATTCCTAGCACATGGGATAATTTAGAAGCAAAATGAGACAGACGGCATGTCACACCAGGAATATCCATTGTAACAAATGGAATCAAACTAAATTGATTAGATTAATTTGTTAATTCCTTCTAGGGGTATGTATGCAGATTGAAAATTAAACTAAAGACCTCTGCATGGAAATTGATCCACAAACAGAGACATCCCAAGGCTCTGTGAGGGTTTTGCAGCATTTGATTTGCACGTTACAGTGCTTGATATTTTCCATTTCATATTTTAGCCAAAATTTCAGTGTGATTATTTAATAGTAGAACTCCCATGAAATTCACTGGTTATGATATATCCTTCAGAATTTTTTGCTTATCGTACTGTTGAAGTTCAAAGAAAACAGTGTGAGACAGCTGGTAATGATTTAGAGGTTTTTATGTTATTGAATGTGAAGTCATTGTTGAGGAAATCAAAGGAATTAAAATCCATACAAGGAGCAGAAGCTTGGAGGTCTGGATGGATGCATGTTGTGTGGTCTGCATGGGATATCTTTTCCTCATTCCTTTTTCATTCTTACTTGCTTTTCTTTTCTTTTTTTTCCTTTTTTTTAAATAAATATTGATATTGGGTTTTTTATTTTTCTCATTTCTATATCTTTTCTTTTTTGTAACAGAAAAATGTGTAGCTTATTAATTTTTCAACAATATAAAGAATGAATGTCAAGATGCAATACACCTACCTAACTTGGAATAGCTTTTGAAATGACAGAGAGAGAGAGGGGGGGGGGGGATGTAATGTTGTTTGTATAGGCATACAATTGGAGCAGGAGTTTGGAAAAGAAGAAATGAAAAAGACATTTGTAAATGCTTAAAAATACCTTTGGTTTAAATAAATATATATATATTTATGTGTGTATATATATATATAAACATTTATTGTTCATTAGTTCTTTCTGTTTTTTCCTTTATTCATTCCTTGTTTAATTCCAGTTTTTAAAGTGAGTCATTACTTTTAATTTTCATATCTTTGAAAGCCTTTTGTCTATTTCAAATCTTTCACATTTGATTACATCAAGTATTGATAGACACTTTCTTCTATTGAAAAATGAATTATGATGTTCACTTTATTACTGTTATTATTGGGCATAGTTCTCTAAGTTTCCATTGTTGGGAGTCATCCGCATGAAAGCAGGCTACTTTTGGAATGTCTGGAATTTCTGCATTATCTAATCATCCAGATTGTTCCTATAGTAAAGTGTATGTGTGCAAAATCAGGCTTTGCACAGAACTATGTGTGTGTCTTTGTGTGTGTATCATGTGCACTCATGCTTGTGCATATATTCTGCAGTTGTACATAATGACCTTAAATGTTTTGTCATACTCCAAGGCAGGTGATGAAGAAAGTAGAAAGAGCTGCTTCCCTCCAACGAGGGGCAACAGCTGCGTATATCATGTACAGTTTCATTTCATTATGCATATACAGGTTCTTGCCTTGCTATCATTTTACAAGTCATTAGTTTTCTTTTACCTGTGCCGATGTGCATCCTTAGGGATAAAACGATAAGGAGGTCAAATGGTGAAAAAATGCACATTTCTTTCTTCATCTGTGAATACCTCTGGGGAATGTTTGTTGATGGCTGGTGGACAAGTGCACATCAGAGGGCACAGGCATGGAGTGAGAGACTGCTTGAGTGGATGGAAGAGGGTTTTTAATATTTATTGTCATCAGCGGATACTGTTCAACATACTGTGTATGTACCTTTAATAAAAAAATGTATATAATATTACAGTATATATGGTATTGAATATATTGCTGCACAGAATGGTTGGCTAAAAATACCTTTTGTACATTTGAGTTCCAGTATTTGTATAGTTATGTATATTGCCCAAATCTTGAAGATAATGGTATTGTACCCTCTTAATCAGTAAATATTAAAATAAAAAATCTTTCATGTATCTTTTTTTGACCAATAAAAGCACTGGTTACAAAAATAATATTTTTCAAAGTTCACGTTTTTCACATTAATACAATCAGTTACGGATTCAAAGATTCAAGATTGTGCTCTAATGTAGGTTTACTGAATGAACAATAATAAAAAGTAACAAATCCTAATCCCTTGCTACTTGTTGTTGGGTGTGGGGGGGGGGGGGGGTAAGAGATGGGGACTGCGGCTCCTTGCCTTGGACCTCAGCCCTCACCGCAACGAATTTTGCTTGGCCTTTTCTTTTGCACTAGGCGCCTTCCGTTCCTCTCCAGTTGGGAGCCTGTATACTGAATCAGGCATACCATCTCTATCTCGACGTCATGCCCTTCTCTCTCTCCGATGTTATGTTCGTTTCCACCAACTTCCCCTCACTAAACTAACTATCCCACAATCCCTACTTCCTACCTTAGCTTTATCTCCACGCTTACCTACTCCTTTCTCCACTCGCATGGATACCCTCCTCTCCCATTCCCCTTTCCCCCATCTCCAACCTCTCCCGTTCTCTGTCCATTCCGTCCCTCCATGGCTTATACCTCACCCCCATATTTGCTCTTCTGTTTTCCCCGACCCACCAAAATCAAATATTCCTCCTACTGTCCTTCTCATCCATTTCCTTGACCATGTCTCCACCCATTCCTCTAGTATACACGTATATACTGATGGCTCCAAATCCACCTCTGGTGCTGGTTTTGCAGTAATATTCCCAACTCCTACTTTCAAATACTCCCTTCCTCCTGAATCCAGTGTCCTTACTACAGAACTGTATGCACTCCTTTTTGCCCTAAAACACATATACTCTCTCTCCTCTTCCTCTTTTACAATTTTTACTGACTCCCGTAGCTCAATAACTCTCATAAAGTCAATACACAGCACCAACCCCCTTGTTTGAAAGATCCAGAACTGAGTGTTCTACCTGTCCACACGCCATAAAACAATCAAATTTTGCTGGGTGCCCAGCCATGTTGGAATCCCCGGCAATGAACAGGCAGATACACTAGCACGCCACGCTGCTATGTCCACATACCAACCACGCTTCTCACGTATCCCAGCCACGGATTATTACCCACACTTTATGAACTTCTTGTATAATCGATGGCAATCTTTTTGGTCAAGTCTCCGCACTAATAAATTACATTCTGTAAAACTATCAATCTCCTCCTGGTCAGCTCCATTTCATCGGAACAGACGTTGGGAGACTGCTCTCGCCCGCTTACGCATTGGCCACACCCGTCTAACACACTCCTATCTGATGTCACAATCTGATCCACCCCTATGTTCCTTATGTAATGTTCCCCTTTCAATCGTACACATCCTTTTGTCGTGCCCACGTTTTGAAGCAGCCTGTACCTCTGCTTTCCCCCACCTATCCTCCCTTCACCGACCTCCCAACCTATCAGACATCCTTACAGAATCCCACACTTTCTGCACAACCTGTTCTCTTTCCTCAAACGCATACATATCCTTTATCTAATCTAACACCCGACCTTAACCCTTTGACTCACCAATTCATTTGCCCAGCTTAGACAACTAATCACTAACTCAACCATTAACTATAGTGCTACATGACCTTAGATGTCTAGCACATTTATCTTGTTTTTAACCATTAACCATTAACCATTGGCCTTTTGTTTCTCCCCCTTTCCTTTTCTTTCTCTTCATCTCCTTTTGTCCACTTATCCTAATCGTTCACTCATTTTACCATCTTCGCCGCAATACTTTATCCTAATGTTGTATGACCTTTGTCGAGCACATTTATTTGTTTTAACCATTAACCACCCTAGGAATTAACAAACATCGCCTTTTGAACCAAAAAACGTCCTTATTCGGGGGCTTTGCCTCCAAGTATCACCCTGTCGTTGAATACCCGCTAATGACCTTAGGTGTTGATGCGGCAGATTTCTTTTCAATAAATAAAATGTCTATCTCCCGCTATCCATCTATATGGCTGTACATCTATATATCATTTATCGATCAAAATCTATATTTCTCTTATCTACATCTTTATCTAGCTTTTATTAAAGTCTTGGTTAAGGTCGGGGTTAGAGCCGTAGCTTCCCATCGCGGACTGAGCATGTTGGCCCTCACTCCCTTGCTCGGTGCTGCCGGGGCTCACGAGGCGGAGAGGAGGCCCAGGTGGAGATCACCCCTGCCCTGGCCCTCAGCCCGCGCCTCAACTCATTTCGCAGGGTATTTTCTTCTTTCCTTTTCCTTTTCTTCATCTCCTGTTCTGTTCCAAATGGTTAACTCATATTTACCTTTTTCCCTACAATACTTTACCACAATGCCTTGTAACTTTTGATGCCTGGTGCAGTTGTTTGTTTTGACCAGTGACCATTCTGGAAATCCATAAACCAGAAAACTTACCCCGCTAATGACCTGAGATGTTGCGCAGCCAAAAATATTCAATAAATAAAATTGAGCATGTTGAAACAAGCTGCTCTGAGAACAGAACTGAGGCAGACATTAAAGTCGCTGCCAGACTTAATGACACAACACAATCATTTGAAGTTAAATTTTAACATGCACCGCTAAAGTTCGTAAACGAGATCCAGTGCTCGTAGCATCAGTTTTGAGCTCTGCTCCACAACCCACAGCCGGCTGAGGCGTTAAACAAACTAAAGACAGTTCAGATTAATCCTCTCACTGCGTGTCGCCGGCGCTGTGCATCCTCCAGTGGCTCGTGAATGTTGTGAGGTTGACAAAGGAAGCTTTGCACAGGCGGCACGCGTAGGGCTTCTCGCCTGCGTGGGTTCTCAGGTGCGCCTTCAGGCTGGCGGTGTCGCGGAAGCAGGCGTCGCAGTAGGGGCATGTGTAGGGCTTCTCGCCCGTGTGGGTTCGCTGGTGTGACCTGCGGAGGGTCGCCATGAAAGGCGCGTTGAGCTTTTTAAAGGATCTGTCTGAAGTGCTTCTACGGTATACGTTCGAAAAGTGAAAAAAAATAAGTAGATCGAAATTAAGCGAACACGGCGAAGATATAAAGCGCAAAACAAACCGGATCGAAGAAGGGTTGAGAAAATAAAAGCACCAGTAAGAATTAATTATAAATTAATTATGTGCGACATAATAAGATAAGCAAATTGATATAAGAGAGAACAAATGCAAAAAGTACCAGAGGTTACCTTAGCCTGTCCTTCCGACTGAATCTGGCGCCGCAAACGTCGCAGCAGAAGGGCTTCTCGCCGGTGTGAGTCCGCTGGTGTATCTGGA